TAAGTCTCACGTTTCCATCTAATCCCACATAACCTTGCCTCCTCAAACGTATTAATATTCAATATAGACTGCTGTTTTTATCTCACCTTGCTTCATTTACAATCCGACCACAGTGTTATGGGAAAATACCTATCCTTCCCTGAAATTTGCATCCGCCCAGTGACTCTAAAACACTCGTAGCTTAATGGTTAACATGTCGAGATTATATGCTCCATTATCATGGTTAGAGTCCTGCTGGTAGTGCTGTTGAGATCTAGACAAGTTAGAAAGGGCAGTCCATCCTGGATAAGAATACCTTTTGGGAAGCAAGTCTATCTGGGATTCAATGCAAACGTAAAGCTCTGCCATATCATTGTGGAAAAATTCAACTACCAGTGCTTTACCATCTTAACGAAATACGGTCTATAGATTTCATAAATATTCATGTGTATTTGCTTAGAATATAATGAACCATAGTTTTTTCTCAATAGATTTGAGCTTTTTTAGTAAGGATTACTGTTTAAGTATTAAACTATAAATTCTCATAATTATATATCTTCATCAAGCAGCACCTATCTACCCTTTGTTAAGTTTAATTATTTGACCTTCTAAATAGTGATAAAAGGCTTTCGACAATACTACGAATGTAATATTTTAAAAATAAATATTGAATTCGCAGTGAGCTCCATTAAAAATCCAAGCGGTGCCTTTCCTGGAAGTAAGAAAAAATGTCGTCCTAAACTCCTTCCTTCTACAACCCTCTTTGTTACCCATTTTTATCTCCAATGCAAATCAAATTGTTGCGATTTTTTTGCAAAGTTCCGCCCTTAAGGTCAAAGTCCTGAATTAAGGTAAAAAATTTGGTAGGCTGCCTCAGGAAACGTTTGGAGCATTGGCTACCTGGCGAGATCTTTTCATACTAATTTTCTGGTCAAGGTCTCCAGCTGAGAATTTTCATTAGCTAAAACTATTTTGATTTTTGTCCTTAGAGCTTTGTTGATATGCACCTGCTTTTTGAGTACACTTCAGCCAATTCATCTGGATTGCCGATAAAACTATGATCTATATTATGAACTCCCTCGTTGCAAATAGTACATTAACGTGACAATCTTTTAGTGTCGCAGGCGAAAGTAATAAAAAATTGTTGCATCCATCTGGACCAAGACATGTATTATGATATTTTACATTTTCCCTAAAGAGCTTATTTTATTTCATTTGTAGATAAGAAGGCCAAGATATTGTAGCCTCTATTTTGATTCCAATCTTTCTCTGGACAGCAGTGGTTTGACCTCGTTTTACAACTTGGTCGTGTTTAGAGGGAGACCATATTGGACGCACTTTGTCCGAAATCGTCTACTGTAGTAGTCATGGTGATTCCCAGTGTATGGCCGTGGACTGAGTACCTTTCCTGATGTTTCGATGACATTCTCCCTATGGAACTAACTCCTATTTATTCCTAGATAGAAAGACAAAGATGGTATGGCCTTATGTTTGCTCGCTGCTTCCTTTAGTAGTATAGTGTTGATTTGACCTTGTTTTCAAAACTTTCTCGAAGCGGCAAGGAGACCCTGTGGAACATACCACTCTCTGCAATTCCATTCATAATAATTTCCAGCATCGAACCGTTGACTTGGGACATCCCCATTCGTTTCGCTGGCATCTCAAACAACTTCGTCAATGAGAGGGGCCATGCTTAGCACAAAGTTACAATTTACCAAAGTTATACAGTTATGCAATATAACTCTGTGCTATGGACGGCTACTTTCAGTGACAATGTCGACTATGCTGGACAATGGGTTACTTTTTGTCCTATTATGAGCATGTGCTAACGTTTTTCAATTTACCTCTGATTTGCAATTATTTTAATTCTTTTTTTCGTATCTTTTTAAAGAATCTTGCTACCACATCTTCTGATGCAAACTCTGGGATTAGTTCACAAGCGATTAATAATAGCCTAAATCCCGTCCCAGTTCCTCCTCAACATCTTTCGACTAATGAGCATTCGGCTAGGGGTCAGGTTCAGAGCCAACCTTTGAATCTGAAGTCAGACAATCAGATTGGAACCACTTCACCGCTCGATCCCGAATTTATGGCAGAAACCAGGGCAGAAATCATTTGTGATGGAACAGGCCGTATATATGACGTGCATTTTGACTGCCCTGTCAAAGTAAGTTGATGTACCTTTGACGTCTACTAATTCCCAATAGGTATCCTTATATGAACTCTAGAATTTATTCGCTTCTGTAGTTTAATTTTTTCCAGTAAATAAACAGGTTATATTTATATATTCCTGTTTTTGCTTCATCTGAAGAACCTTTAATAGGACCTTTATTTTTGACATTAATCTAAATCATATCTTTAGTAAATCAGATTTTTATTTTTGTG